AGGACTACAAAAGGAGGGGGAAGAAAGGAGGAGAAACAGAAGAGAGTAAATTTTTTTCCTATAAAGTGTCACCAGCTACTTAGCAAAGAATTGGAAGAATTAAACAATGCAAGGGACTTCTCTGAAGAGTTCAGCATCTCAAAAGATTAACCCCAAAGAGAGGAGTGTATTCACAAGCAAATGGAGCCAGTGAATTGGGCAATTGCCTTACCATCTTGTTTGTGAAGATATTGTGTAATATTAACCATTTAAATGCTCTGCTGTGAATCTGGGACTTATAGGTGGTGTATTATAATATTCTCCTTTAGTCTGGCTTTACTATTTGAAAACGGCCCACATGCATGTTACTGATGTTTGGGGTTACATGTCTTCTTCTGCACAGTCTATTCTTAATCCATAACAAGAATATCTCAAAAGCCACATGGATACAAGCCAGCTGTTTTTCTGTATGAGCTGTCCTTGTTAAAAATATCTTTTTCACAATTTCAGAAAGATTTCCTTTTATAAACTGTTTTAATCAATAAGCAGTGTGAATTAATACTTCTTTTTAAAAGAAGAAGCGAATAAGCCAATTCATGCGCTTTGATCTGCGAGAGCAGACACTGTCAGTAAGAACTAAATATAAGTATCAAAAGCTGGTTAAAATTAGCAACAAATAACATAGAAATATAAGACATGCTAAGAAAGTTGTTTGGAACGCCTGGCCTTCCTGGTGATTAATATATTCATTATGCCATTAGAAGTATGTGCAAAAAAGGCATATTTTTTAAGTAGTGCCATGTATTGCTGCATCTTATTGCTGCTCAACAGGGCTTTATGTCCTCTGTATTGCAAGTAATCATTGTAAAGATGCAAATTCTACAGAAACTCAGAAATCAAGTCTGATCAATAAAGCTGAAGTTTGTGTAATGCCTTCAGGTCTTGCAAGGAAATAATATTAAGCAAAATTACTTGTGTCAGGGAAGAATCTACTTCTTGTCAGGGCTAGTAAATGTCACTTCTAAAAGAAAATCAATCTGGAAGGACAGAGAGACAAAGACTTTGCAATTAAGAACATGTATTTTTAGAGATACTATTAAAAAGTATTTAATACAAACCATAACAGCTCTTTGATAAGGATTTTGTTCACACAGCTATGTCATATATAATTTCAGAGTACATATTCCTAAGCCTTCCAGCATTTCTTGTGTTAGATACTGTCTTATAGAAGATCATCTCAGCTACCAGCACATAAACTACCTGAAAACTCTAATGATGACAAGCTTCACATAAGGAAAAAAAAGGAATCAAAAGAATGAAAGTCATACATGGCTCCACAATTCATATTGTAAGTAATCTGCTACTCCATTTAACAGGAGGAAAAAGGACAGGACTGAAGACTTACGGAAATGAGATTCACATATTAAAAATCATATAACTAACTTGCCGTATGTATCAATTTCAGTGGAAATACATTCGAAGAGGAATGCATTCTTTAGCCTTCAGAGCAGCCTGAAGTACCATTCCGTGTTGGTAAGTATCCTCTCTGCTTATGCAACGTATTTGAAAAGAGGGGAAAAATAAAAACTTTGTCTGAATGATGTTCCCATTCAGACATGGGAAACGAACTGTTCTAGTCCACCTCGACACTGAGAAACCCTTCTGCACCCCCTCCAGCTTGAGGTTACACAGAGAATTGGAGGCAATGCTGCCAAGGTGATCAATCAGGTAGAAGGGCTAACTTGGGACAGAAGATTAAAAAATTAAGAGTGCACAGTTTGACATTTCCCAAAGACTGCAGGGTTAGGCTATAAATTACAAAAGCTAACTGAGGGTCTAAGTTATTTGTCACTTTGCTGATTATAGACTAAAAAAAAGTGAAAACATCACAGGAATAAACATGCATTTAAATGGCACTGAAAGGGCTAATACTGAGATACTGAAAGGAAGTAAGGAACATGAAAATACAAACAACATTAAGAAAACCATCTGAGCAGACCTACTTACAGTCAATCAAATGATATTCTAATGAAAGTTTTAAAAATACTTTCTCAGACTAGTATGATTCGGCTATATGCCATTCTCTTGAAGAAAGTTGTAGAAGCAATGTGCAACTGGGACTAGAACAGAGAAAATGAGCCTGGAAGCTGCTTTTTGGATGGCCTTATAAGACACAACAAATTTTGCATCTTAAAAATCAATGTTTATAAAGGTAAATGCTTATAAATTTCTTCCTGGTGGAAATCCAATATTTTGAGAGATATAAGCACTTACTTTCATCTAAAAAGCTGAAATAAAAAATGAAGATGGAAACAATACAGTGGTATCAATCAATATACAATAAAACAACTATAATAACTTCAACTGACAGGGACTGTGCAATGAAATAAAATTCTTAGTTTCTCTCCCCCCCCACCTCCAAAGTCTCATTAGTGAAAAATTACAAAACTTCTTTTATAGGAAACATAGGAAAAATCTATGACTGAAATTGTCATCGATTCTATCAACTTAGCAACATTGTATTTGAATTGAAATAACACTAGATATTCAAAGCTTATCAGAACCACTGGTTCGTCATCAAAAAGTTACTGCAAACAATGCATGTATTTAATTTCTTATAAATATTTTCTTTTTTTCTTTTTCCCAAACATTTCTTTGAGCATGTGTTTGTGTAAGGAGGACGGAAACTACTGCAGATCCATTCTATTGGCCTCTATTTAAGATACAGCATACAGTAGGTAGAGCATTCCCACTAAAGGGATGTCTCCTTGGGCCTAAAACACAGCTAACCAGGATAATCATGTCATATGAAACCTGCTTTGCATTAGGAACTACCAGTGGCAAAACACTGATTTGTTTTTGTCTAGAGGACAGTAACTTAACCAATCATCTACTTTACATGGAGTAAAGTTTACTCCTCTTTACACCAGTCATTGAAAGAAGAACACTCATCAAGAGGCATATAATTCAATAAGAATATCATAAAATGATTCCAAGAAATTGGATTTGAATTGGAGATAACATCTTGCCTCAGGCTGGTACCTTCTATTTCTTCACAGCCATTTCCACCACCCTCTTCTACAGAGTACAAAAATACACTGGTTTATAATGCTTTTACTTTTGAGAAAATAATTAACACTGTGTGGATTTTCCTTAAACGTACTTTGAGCATTTCTGAGTACTTTATATGGATGGACCATTCAAAAGCCATATAAAACATTCAATGTCAAAAGGGAAAGCAAAGGTAACAGCTGTAAATCTTGACAGATCTGTTAGAATCCTTCAGATCATACTGTTTGGAGCACTCTGAAAAGTACAGGGTGTTTTTGAAATTGCAAATACATCAGAGTTTAAGAAGGCCAAAGATGCCAATGAGGCCAGTGCTTTGCCAGTTTTGTTGGTTTCAGTATAGTTCAATACCAGTGCTGATAAATATCACTGTGCCCATTTTTATACGGTTTTTGATCAAATAACACTAAAGAAAGGTAAGTTGAAGATATTACGGTGTAACAGCAAAATCATAGCCAATGTTGTAGTGCTACCACATAACCATATGTTCCAATAACAGTGTTTAAATAAAATTACCTTTTTTTTTTACCAGTGATGTACCTTTTTTTGGAATATGTATTTTTTTTTAATTTATACATAATTGCAGCTGGTTTCAGTAGACTACTTTTAAGAACAGCAATAATTACAAGTAAAACAAAGAAAGTCAAACCATTAATACTTTATGCTCCCAAAATTCTTTGACTGTGATGATCCTGAACTAACAGTAATTAATTTAGCCTCACAATACCCCTGTGAGGTAGGTAATTACTATTAGCCCCATTCTATAGGTGGGGAAACAGGGGCACGTACAGGTTAAATAACTTGCCCAAAGTCTTTACTAATAAATTTGATCAACATGTAAAAATACTGCATGTGTGTGTGCATGTATGTGTAACTAGCACTTGTGCATAGAAGCAACTTGTTTCATGAATGAGAAAATGGTAATAGTATTTTTTCAGTTTTAAAATAATTTGTTTTAAAGTTATTCTTGCTGGGAAATCAAGGGCTTCCTTTATTATCTGCTGGGTATTATTAATAAAGTTATAGCAATAGCAATATCTCTTTAGAAAACAGTGTTTTTGAGACATGACAAACCAACCTCACAGGAGTAGTGCATGAATCAAATTAATTAGCATTGAAAAACATTATTACAGGCACTATATTGTGCTAAGTGTTAATTAGAGTACCAAGCAATATTCTACTGCGTTCCAAAAGACTCCTGTGATCAGAGACACAAATCAGCCTGAATTAAATGTATAAAAGTAGCTGTTAAAGCATAAATTAGATGTGTGACCTAGTTCCAATAGAGTCCTTTGCCAATCAGACTAACCATGTAGAACAATCTCAAGCTAGAACTTCCACCCATCCCTTTCCATGAGGGTGGTTTGCCACTCACCTGCCCTATACAAATAACCCACTTCAGATTTTATTTCACAGGAACAAGTAAGATGTTTGTAATACTATTTTATTCTCTGCTCCAGCTCACTCCACTAGAAAAAACAAGGAGAGCTGGTGAGGAGGGAAAGCCCCTGCTGCAACAATCCTGAGAGTTTCCAATGCTCAGCATATTTTGTATTTGCGCTTCTCTTCAAGAAACTCAGACTCAGATACCTTTAAGACCTTGGATTTCCATACAGTCTGGCATACAACAGTCAAATGCAGCAGTGCTTCTCTGTTAATAAATTTACATGGCACTATACAACTAAATAGGCAGAAATTTTAGAACAGTTTTTGAAATTATTTTCCTGAGCAGTTTGCAAGTGCTTTTCAGAATCTTCACTCTAACTTATCCACCTAGTTCCTTACAGTAAGTTTATAATCTAGATTTTCTTGTGCTTTACACATACATCTTATGGGGTTTGTGAGAGCCTACAGTACTACACTGAATTATTACACCCCAGTCCATTGCATTCGATGACAATATGCTCTAGGATATCCACAGCTACATGGAAGAATGATTCCAATGCATACAATAATTTTAAACAGTTCTTTTCTATTTTACTAGCATTTATTATTTTCTGTTTGCTTGTTCTGGATGATGTAATTAGCTATCTGTATACTTCTTAAACAAGGTGGTGTGCGAGCTTGTCCCTAGCATCAGTATGACATTCAGTGAGTACAGAGTTATTTATTCTCTAAAGGCAAGAAGTAAAGAGATTATACAGGTTTCTGAGAGAAGCATCCTAATTCCAGGCAGCTGTGCCACACACACACACACACCTTTAAGCTCATCACACCACACTCAGTTTCCTACAAGGTGACATTAATGGCAGAGAAAAGACAAGAGTGGTGTGGATTCACTGTGCTGCTGTTCCCTAGGGATGCAGAAGTCAAGACTAGGAAACTCTGACCCAGTTTACAAAATTGGGATTAGGAAACACTGACCTGACTCACTAGCCTTTCTGCAGGCAGCTCCTCCAGAAGCCCCTCCCTCCCTCTCTTGCCCTCCCTTCAGGAATAGGGGTGAGCGGTGGTGAGGACTGAGTGACACCCTGTGGTGATGGGAAGGAAATACGAACCCCTAAATCCTATCCCATCCTCCCCATGACCCTTCAGATTGTCAAACTAACCCTAGTGGAAAAGGTCAGAGTTTGCCCACTCCAACCCGCAAGGGCAAAGAGCCAGAGGAAATCTCAAACAGGGATGCAGTGGGAAGGAGATGGTGGTGCTACCCAGCCGTTCCCAGAGGAGAGCTCTGACCTGTCTGGCATATCTGCCCGAATAGGAAGTTTTAAAAAGTAACCATACAAAGAAAGTGACTTAAAAGAAGTATTTACACTCTCTGGAAATTAAAAAGAGACAGGCCACTAGCACAGGGTTTTACAGGATAACTCATTTGGCAGCTGCCATCATCCTGGAGGTGTTCACTCAGGAGAAAGGAGAGAGGAACTGAAATGACTGTCTGCAAGTGAAGGCACCTGGTCTGGAAATAGTATCAAGCTGGTGTTTTTCTTTCATCCAGGGTGGGACTGGGGGAGATACTGGTGCTGATAGTTTGTCAGGACTTGCTACACTTACAAGAGCATGATCATATATTATGAGATATCCTAATTAACATTTTGCTTCCTTTAATCCACAGAACGACCTAAGCCTAAATTCATTAGATTGTCTCACACATGTTTAAGTTAAGAGCTTGTCTCAACTAGGAGTGCATTTGTCTCTCACTCAGTCCTTTCCCAGTACAGAAACACTTGGCCTCCTAAAAAAATTGTCATTGTGATCAACCATCTGTTCTGGTCTAGTCACTTGTGTAAAAATCACCTTTCCAGGATAAAGAGTCCCAGCCTTCTGCTGAATACCTCAATTAAAAATATAATTAAAAAGTTACAGTCAATCATTCTAAAAATAAACATAAAGAAATAGAGCATATACAGAAAAGAAATAAGGTGGCATTGAAGGTGCCTAGGGCTACAAATTTGCTACCATAGTTTGAGTTTCAATCGTAATGAGTTCCCAGGCCATAGAGCGAACACGACATATTATCCTTCGCCCTTGGTAACTGAAGATGGATGCTTTTTTCCACAGGACTGATATGAAACCTCCTCTCCATCAGCATTTACAGCCATATTTGCAATTTTGTGACATCACCAGGGAAAAATAAAATGGTACAGAGAAGAGTCTTTCGGGTTTTTTGTTCAGCTGCAAATATCAGCTAACCAGGTAACTGTGCATCTCTCTGGAGTTGATGCTCAAAACCACGCCTGAGTGATTGCCTATGAAAATACAGAAACAAAAGGCCAACATTAGTGTATTTCAGGTACTCCACAATAAATCCCCCTTTTATTGCAGGGACAAGTCAATTGCATAAGAGAGTGGCTTTATCAAACAACAGGTCAGGTGAAGGTTGGTGCAACAGCTCCATGTACCTACAGCACACTTTTGCGCAAAGCTTTTGCTCATGGTGGTGGATTTGTGGTGAATTCCTAGGGTTTCTATCCCAGTGACAGCATAAGTTGGTTCTCTGTGTGGCTTATAAAGGTGTAGTTGTCTCGAGGGGTGCAGGTGAGGGAGGAGAATGGAACCTGAGGCGTCCATTCGACATGCCACTGACCTGGGACTGGACACTGACCGGCATCAGCAATAAGGGAACTCTGTAGCTGTTCAAGTTGCCACTTCTCCCAGAAGGAGTCACTGCAAGGTAATGGTGTTGAGGAGTCCCAAGGTGGGGGTTGCGATAAAGTAGGCAACATAAAATATATAGAAAACAAAAAAAGTGGATGGGTGAGTCTGGAAATACTGTACTGTGGAAATTCAAAAGTTATGAGAAGAGAGAGAACAAACAGAAACCCAGGCCTGTAACTCCCTCCTGTGCATGGAGTGGAGGTGGCTACTGACATCTCCCAACAGGGGGGGAGAAAGCTCACCAGAACTAGAAGGGATCTCCATAGCATAGGAACCTTCTGCAAATCATGTCGTACACCACAGTTTAATATAAAGCAGGGATTAAAACATGTTTCATAGTCTAGCCAGATAAAATAGAGTATCATTAACAGGAATATTTTCTTGGCAGAACTGAGCAATACTAGAGCTAGTGGAAAGTATTGCAAATAACCAAACAGTAGGGCGAGTGGGAGTATAGTTTTATGTCTTAAATAACATATTCTGTCTAAAAGCTGTACAGTAGGTGACAAATATGGATGATTATGATCCACAGAAATGAGCTCTTTACGCTCTCCTAGAAAGGCTGCTGGTGCTGACATCCTGGCAGAAGCACAAATCACCTCGAGCTATGCATTTGCTAACTGTCTTATGTCATCAAAACATCATGATCTTGTGCTCTTTAACCCTAAAATAATGCTCTGCCCAGATAGAAGATTTTTCTTTTCTCTGATTAATGAGTGCAGGGCAAGCAGAGATTAATTCTGAATGTGTTACAAATCAGGGTAGTGTTTCTTTATTCCAGCATCCCAAGCTGCCTGGTTTTTTTAATAGGCCATAAGGGATTTTCTACCATTAAAAGTTATGCTTTTGTACATTACTAGAGGTGTTTGAATGCTCCACTTTAATAGGCATGTCTGCAAGGACTTTGTTAGCATTCAGCTTCTCCTCTAAAGACCCTGAAGATGATCTCATCAAACAATTTTAACACAGACTTTGTTTTTCCACAGCTGTTTTTGGGACTAACTCCGGTAAAGTCAGGAGGGCAACCAAGGTCATCTTGCAAAATCAGAATGAAAACACAGTGATACTCATACACAAAGGTTGTCAAAGAGAGATAGAAATATACAAAGCAAAGCAAGAGGCTGGATTCTTCCCTTGTGTTCAAAGCTAACACCTTCAAGAACTGAGAAGTGGTGCGTAGTTCAGCAAGTGAAAATAAAGACATCAACAACAAACAATAAAGGTGAAAGCCAAGATAAAGAAATCTCTCCTCTGACCAGGTTCTGTCTTCACCAGGCTACCTCTGGTGCAACTAAAGCAGATCTTCCATGGAGTTCATGAAGACATTACTATTGCCTTTCACACCATGAATCTACTGCTACAAATCCCAAAGGCTTTGGGTTATCTGATTTATTTTCACAAAATGTGCAGAAATGGAACTGGGTGTTTTTTACATTGTCCTACATTTTTCAGACTGTGACCTGAAAGCAGTCTGAACACAATGTAAATTTTACAATAAATGAATTTTATAGATCAGCACCCCGTGTTACATTAAAACTACCCACAGGGTGCCAGGATACACACTTCCACCTGACTTTGAAATCATATCTGAGAGATACTCACAGAAAGTTTCCCTTGTGGCTTCCTTACAACCACCTCATGAATACTAAGAAAGTCAATAGCTAAATTAAGGAAGACTTATGATACTTTTTATACATGAATAAATTTAATGTTTCTAATCACAAAAACCTTAAATGCCACTGGAATATGAAGGCAAATATAGCAATGGATCTTCATACAATCCATCTGAAATCATAGAAGCATTGACTCTACAAATCCTTCTGGCCTAAACTCAATTTTCTACTAATTCTGGAAATTATTGAGTGAATTCAACTGTTGCAGATTATATCCTATTCTCCCAAATATAATTTATCTCTAAAATTGTCCAAGTCAGTCTCCTGATATTAAACTACTATCTCTGTACTCGTGCTCTATATAGCATATCATCCATACATTAGCTTGTATCTCAAGCAAGTCAAAAGAAGGTGACTGAGATAATCCCTTGTTAGTGGTGTTACCATTTGTGTCTTCCTGAGACTGAACAGAAAATGAAAAAGAGCTAAAAGGAAAACAATCAATTACTTATGAAAATTTAGAAACTAAAAATGAAGTTACCTCTTGCGTTACCTAGTGTTTGAGAGTCCAGATCATCATCAATAAACTCCTCACCCTGGATGATGTTCTGGGTGTCCTCACTGTGATTAACAGGGCTTGTCATCTCCTGCTCTTTTTCATTGTGCATCTGGGCGTAGACATTTCTGCCTGGCAGTTTCCTAAATCAGACAAGGAGAAAAAATTTTGTGATGGAGTTCTTTTGTGTCACACACACGCTGGCATCAGAGCAGAGCTCCAGCAGGTCAAAGTCATTCCAGAATCAAAACCATTACCAATCCCACCCTTCCTTAATTTTGTGATCATGACCTAAACTTATCAACTTCTTATTCTGGGTTACAGCTCTTTGTAACCACCTTATCACGATGTTCATACCAACATAATAATTAAGCATCAATTTATCACCAAGACTGATAGACAGTGAACAATGCTGAAAAAAATACTAAAGGCACAGAAAAACTGTTTTAAGAATTCAAGCAACAAAAAGGCCCGACAAGCATTCATTCCTGGTCCCAGGTGTCTTCACAAACACTAAGCTGGATTGCAATCATCATCACATCTCCCTGGTGAGGTGGGCTGACATTAAAGTTTGATAGCATCAAATGGCACTAGTAGTCATCAGGGTGGCAGAGAAAGAAGCAGGAGAAGTCCAGGAGACAGAGAGTGGAAAGAGAGCAGAGAGTGAAGAACCGGGAGGCCAGGACCAAGGGGTAAGGAGTAAGATGGTAAACAGGCATCAATAATGGCACAAGACAGGGGAGGCTGGTGAAGTTAAGCAGGCAGCACTGAAGGAGATAAAGTGTAAAGCTTGGACTGGGAACTAATGAATTAGACAAAACTCTCTATAGGAGACAACATTAAATTCACTCATTCTGACTGTAATCTAGAGAAACAAACAGCATGTTATTAAATGACTCTAATGAACAACTAGCACCATGGCTGAGATCGGGAGGCTTATGACTTAGTATTGATAAAAAGTTCTTAACCAGATTAACTAAAATTAGGTTTCGCAATATCAAAGGGAAAAATCAGGGACTTCTAACTTTGCAACACAATTTATGGTTTAAACATTTCTCAAGAGTCACATCCTTTGTGCTGCAGCTGTGCTCACCTGCAATCTGCCTGGGCACATAAGGATATCCTTTCCTAGGCAGCAACCAGACACTTCAGATTTGGGAGCTGCAGGCTATAAACTCCGTTTCCTAAAGTGCAAGAAGCAGCTTGACAGTTTGATCAGCGTGACAGCAGATCATGGCTGTCAAAGTCTGTGCTTAAACACAGATTATTGCAATGGGGAGACAATGAGAAGAAAAGAGAAAACAGGGTTGAACTGCTGAGGTTAAGCTGCGGTTTCTGTTGAGCTCCTTTAGACAGTGAGAAAACAGAAAAAGTGACACTAATTTTTAGGTTTCTCTCTAAAAACAACCATCAGCTGCTCTATATTCCAGCAGTTGAAAAGTTTGAAAGCTGCATAAATACACAGATTGCTCTGTTTTCTCTAGGCTTTTGAAGATGACCTGTCTTTAGATGTAATTTCAAAAGAAGGTGTCTTTAGCAGATGGCACCATCTTAGTTTGAGATAAAAGTTACTGCAGCAAGCTATTCTAAACAGCACCTTCCATTGTGTCAAAGTAACTAAAATAAATGGAAATTGCTAAACAATGAAAGATGACTGAAGACAATCTCCTCCCTTTAATTTGAATAATCCAAAAGATGAATTGTATCCTATATACCTACACACACACACAAAATTTTATATAGATATATAAATTAGGCATTTTATCCCATTATTTATAAGCAGTACACAGAAAGAAATCTGATTGTTCTTGCTCTTTTCTGTATCTCAGTGAAGATGGGGTAAATAAAGCTCAGGACTAGCCAAAGGACAAAGTTGTAAAGATGGTCTGATGACACAATATTCTGCTATTATGATAACTGCAACAGGTCTGACACAAACATACACATAAAGCCAAGTCCTGCATCATTCTTCTTCTACTACATGGGTAAAAAAAGCCATGTTTAAAGAGGGAAGGACGTTTCTCATTACCAAAACAAATACATTAGGTAATTAATTTTGATTTTTTTTCTCTAGGGCCAGTAACTCCAGACTGTTTTTAATGTGTCTGGTAATGAAACTAGTAGTGTGGAAAACAATATTCTCTCAATCAGACCTGCGTCAAACCTGTCAAATTGCTCACTTTCAGTCCACCAGCAAATGCCTAAGGGAGACAAATCCCAGAAGAGCGTCTTTGTAACACATCTGCAGAATAAGCACATATGTTTCTGCAATAATTAGGGGACCTTCTCAAAACTATTTCTGACAGATTTTAGAAGCATCAGTGGTATTATCCAAACAATTTTGACATAATAGAAATGTTAAACGTCTCAAACCCATATGGCACATCAGACCTTTGCAGTTAAGTAAAGGGAGAAGAGCTGCTATTCTGATTACTGTCTGCCCAGGCTGAAGGACCTGCATGAAACCAGGTCAACAAGGTGTGTCCTCTAGTGTAAATTCTGAGGCTTCAACTTGTGTCTCCTGTAAGACTTACTAGTTAGAGATAACCACGATCACAACACCTACTGTTAAAAATATGAAAGTTTCTTCATTCTTCCTGAATGAAGGAGCCTCTCAAGTTCACAAATAACCATTAAATGTATTGTTGTTAAAAGCATTTCTTTATGGGCTAAGAATAAAGGGAGAAAAGGTGTGAGATGTTATTTCTCACTCATCTAACCCTGCCCAGTCCTGCTAAGTACAGGTGCATCATGGAAGCTACAAAGCTGAGGTACTCAGTACTTTCATACTTTCCTTTGCTCCTCAACCTGACAGAGGAAAGCACCTTAGACTGTAACACTGAGCATGGACTGGAGGAAGGAGAGTATTACAGGTCTTGAGAAGACACATACTGTAGGCATTAGACCTTTTACACACTACAGAGATCTCTACGTCTATTGGTTCATTTTTACAAGGAAGGGACTCAACCACACCGAATGAAATGATAGTCCAATCCTTTTCAAGAGGCACTTTTAACACATGTGCTGGATGTTCTGTTTACAAGGGACAACCACACTGAGAGATGAAACAGGATGTGGATACTGAATCCTTGCTAAAGATGGCCCTGATAGTGGCAATTTTCCAGTTGCTCCTCGCTGCTCTAACAGATAGGAAGGAAGCTGCTACCCCTAATTATAGAGAGAAAAACTCTAGTGTACCCTGATGTGCTTTGCTCTTCTTCAAGAAGCAATTGAGTCCAATGTAAGTGTTTGAAGTAGGCAGAGCTGAAATGCTTGGGTGTACATAAAAGACAACTGTGAAAACATGACAAGGCACGAAATTTGACCCAAGAGATTTCTATCAGCAGTATGGAAATTGAAAGCACATTTAGAAGAACAGACAAAAAGATTATGCAATACTTTCTTTTGGGGGTTTACTCTTCATCTGCAAAATGCATGTGCTTCACATCCATCACTGGAGACAATTACCTCTGCTCAGCAGCACCCCATGGTTTACATTTTTAGTTCCTTTTGTTTTCCCTGTAGCATTTTATTTCAATCATGAAGAAGAAGAAGAAATATTCATGTCTGCTTTGAGGACCATAAAAATATGAGTCTAGAGACATGATTCTGTGCGGTACTACTAAAGAACATCACAGCACATGGTTTTCACCATGCTTTTCAGGTCCTACACCTTTTAGAAGTTATTCCAGAAAGTACATTTTTCTTCCTATATTCACAAATTCTAATCAGTTCATACCCAAAACTGTACTTAAAAATGTTCATCAGGAAGGAACAGCAGGAGGTGATGAGATATTGATTCCCACTCATTTAAATTCTGGTTTATTTGGTTTTGAATTCCTTCCTTGCAGAGCAAATATTCATTGGCCTTTATGCAACTTCATTTGTTTTCCAGAGGCTTGATTAAAATTCTGTTTAGTATAAAAAAAAAGGAACATATTCACATGGCAAAGGATACAGAATAATGTAGCGTTCTCTCGGAACTTAAAGAAAACTAACAACAATAATAATCCATTAAATAGAATACTTTATTGTGGTGTTGACTTTATCATGTTTGGATTTATGTTCAGATGACTGACTTCTTTGTGCTTTAAGACACTCCTGATACACTTGCCTCTTTCATTTCAGAAATCTTTTCAGCATGCTATTACTTTGATTTCTGAGGAAGTTTTTACGAAATATTATGGATCATTAAATTAGTGCCTGTTTTTTTATCACTAAAAGGCACAGACTGGGACTAAGCTTGCTCTCATGGAACATAAAAGTAGTATAAGCAAGGTGGGAAAAAAGATAGCTTTTCTTCAGAGACTGAAAATGAGACAGTAAGTCAATGAGGCAGAAAGATAACAGAGTTCTGCTCCAGATTGTGGAAATGACCCAGGAGGGGGTTCATTTACCAAAAGTGGCACTTGATATTAGCGGGGGGAAAAGGAATACACACAAAATGGTATAAATCTGGGCAAAGAGGATTCACTGTGATTTGTGAAAACGATGTATGCAGCTTTAAGTACACTGCAAGTAGTTTGCATACAAATTAAAAGACAAAGATTTTCATACTCTTTCAGAGAATCGAATTACAATTAACCAGGTAAAATACATAAGGAGAAAAGCAAAATATTTTTGCTCTGGTTTGGCTACTCTAATATCCTGCTGTTATACAGAAATGAAAAATAAGAAAAGATGATTTCAGATCTTCCGCTAGTAACATGATGATTACATGGCAGCTTTGATGTGGCTAAAATATAATTTTCCTTTCCTCCACTTTGCCTTGTGCAGACAGTGCTATTTCCCTTCTCTATTCTGTTGCCCAGGACCCCACACCATAAAGCTTTTTCTGAGAGGAAGAAGAAATCTTTTCTGGAAAGCAATTTGAAACCCACAAAAAAATACAAACATTGTTTCAAAGGGAATGGAAGAAATGTGTTCTTACTGAACCAAATCTAGTAAAGATGGTATGATATATAAAAAATACGTGCAGGTCCCAGATCTGCATTAAAAAATAGTCCTCATTTCTCAAAAAAACATTTTCCAGCTGCTTCATATTTTTGTGGTCAAAAGAAGCAGCTGCAGTCCATTTTACCTGGATGTTTAAACAACTGAAGCATACTAGTGAGTATTACAACATACTTTTTGCTTGAGGCATCCGATCGATGCTTTCCATGCTCAGAAAGTAAGAGCAAGGAAAAGGCATGTTGCTCATGGCTTGCCCACCATCCACGTTTGCTGGCTGCACGGCTTCTTGCTCCACAATCATGGGCACACTTACCAGCCAGGTATGACCTCTTGCTCCTTGCTGCCATTCTCAAAAACCAATAGCTCAAGTATACCAAATGGCTCATCTCATTTGCTGGAAATGATTCGAATTAGTTTTTAAAACCATCACAGCTATAATTTAAAATTTGCTTTTCATTTATGGAGTAAAAATAGCCCTAATCTGATGTCCTTATCTACTCAGATCACAAAGGAAACCCTTGTGTTTCTCAAGACTTTTTGGTTTTTGCTTTTTTTTTTTTCCCCTGAAGCAACTAAACAGGTTTGGGATTGCCAGGAGTCACTTCACGAGCTCTGGGGACTCCAGCACCAGTTTTTCAAGCGCATGTGGCAAGAAGTGGTTGGATGCACAAAGGAGCCATTAGATAAGGAGGGGAGGTTTGGGGAGGTTCAGGAATGAGGAGATGAAATGATAAACTATTACAATTTTACAGCATATAAGAACAGAGGGCAGCAGTTTTCCTAGTCAATGCTTAAGTATTTGAGATTAGGGCATATCAGAACAGATGTGACCTACAGTCACCTAATCAGTAGCTAGACAGCCATGACAGCTCTTGTTATCCAGCAGATCCTAAAATGTTAGATTTGATTAGAGGGAAATTATGCAATTTACATCTTTCCTATTTAATGGGAATTCCTTGAGGAGCAATGAAATGGCATTGGTTTTTACTATGCATATCACTAATCAGCCAAAACCCCACTACCTCTGTATGAATCTGCCTCTGTTTTTCCCCTGTCCCCCTACCTAATTAGATTAAATACTCTCTTTGTTTTCTCCATATGAGGCATCTGACAAAGAATCTTATGCAGGATTGTTATTTTTAGATTACTGCTCTCCCCCAAACTAATTTTGTGAGATTTACTTCTTGCGAGAGACACCAATCTTAAGCAGTGAATATTGCAGTTTTCAAAAAAATGAGAAATTAAACAGGACCAGCAAGTGTCATCATTGCTTACAAAAGGTTAATAAAAAAAAGGTATTGGATTAGTCTCTGATGTCTTGTCAATACCATCTTTCATCTCCAGTTCAGTCTGACAAAAATTAGTGTAAATTGAGACCCAAGTTCTTATGGCATGAACTGCAGAAATAATCCGGGCAGGTGAGCATGCTTGGGGACAAGGAGCCTCAACACTCAGGAACCTTGGAGCAGTTTGGGCAGGTTTCTCCATTTTCCATCAAAGCTGCAGGTCTACACAGAAGCCCACTATTTTCTCTTTAATTTCCATCACAAGTCTTGAACTCTCTCATTGCAAATAGATGAAATGTTCTCATGTATGAAGCTGTAACTTCCCTGCCAACCCAGTCAGCATCTTATTTGCAAGCCAAGTTTTCCTTCTTGCATCTTTCCAGGTATCAACCTTATGTTAACAGTCCTTTGGGACAGCAAAGAGAGAGAAAGAGAGAGCAGTCCGAGGCATGTCCATGCATTCTCTTGCATATCACCTGCTCTGCCTGTGCTCCAATGCCAACTGCAAGTCCTGTAGACCCAATTAGTATAGTGATAAAACTAGGATGAATAAAAATGTCTCTGATGTGGGGAAAAAAGGAGTTTTAACCTTTTGTGAAGGGAGTATCTGACTATTAACCTACATTGAATGAAAGGAAAGCATCATGGAATGTCTTCCATCTCCTGCTGAATTTTGTGGATCATACATCAGAATTATGGACAGTATTAACATTTCAAAACTTCATACATGTCTGTAATTTCTATGTGGAAATAAATAATATTTTTATTTGCCCGGGTAATCTGAGTTACCATAGGACCCAGTAGGTGTTAGTCTTCTGAAATTGTCACCTAAAATTGAACATTTTTTGTTGCCTATGGCATTCTTTTAGCAAATTAATTTTTAAAACACAGGCATATAATATTGACAAGCTGCCTTTGTGCATTACAACTTCCAACTTTTATATCCATAAAGGACCCTCAGTCTCATAGCCTCAGTCCCTGTGGACCAGTTTGTGAACTTCCATACTCACTGTACTGACTTTAAAAGGACTGTACTCCCAACTAAGTACTCCATGGGGATCCAGAAATTCACCATCCATCTTCATAAACACAGGAAAGACTTTTTAAAAGGGATTAAATATTTGAGTGCTCAAAAAAAAGTGATTTTTCAAACATAGCACTGATTGGGTACTCAATATTCTTTGAAGATGATTGCAAATGAAGGATGTAACCAAAAAAAAGTCATATTTGAAAAGCTTATCAGGAATATTAAAAAAAAATTCTGTCAAACATCTCTGAAACAGATAAGATACAGACTAAAATTGAATATTACTGCGTGGTCATTCATCAATGCCAACAGCCATTTCAGGCTACTGACAAACATTTGAATATAACTCACAATTCTCCTCAATCACACTTAGATTACTCCCCCAAAAGGCAAATGCAATGATTTTCACAAATTATATACAGAAGTGTAAGAGACGTTAAAGCTCACAGTTTGCAAATTGTACTGCAGTTTCCTTCTTAATAAAAGCTCTATTTATAAAGCAATGGTTCATTGGGGCATTTTACAAAGAACTTAAGGAAGATTATTTTTTTATTCCTTTATTGAATATTTTATACTTCTTCTACCATGCAGTAACTGTGCCTGTTATTTAATTGCTCTCATTTAAAAGCTAATAAAAGATATAAATCAATAGCTTTTGAAAGATATCACAAGGAAGTTTTATGATCCCAAACTACAAACAGCAAATCCTCCATGTATTGAAATAATATAATTACATCACATCAACCATTTTTACGCTTTTCCTTGCTGCAGGCACCTAACATAGCAAAATGGATTTTTATTCCATTGTAGGCAGTTTGATACAGTATTCTGTCCTTTGCACCTTTGAGCAATCACTCACTATGAACTCTAAGAAACTTAGGTGCTGCAGTGAGAAAGTTAAGAGATTCTTGAAGAAAAGGGGCTTTTCTCTATTGACATAAAAATTCTTTGGCTAAAAAAACTCATACTTCAATGCTAGCTACATGTACTGCTATCACAAACTTAATGCTGCACCTAGTTCTAGAAACTTACATTTATTTCAAATAAAAATAAATCTTTCAAAAATTCGGCAAATCAATATCAATCCTCACTGAGTAAGGACAACAGGATTTGATGATGATGATGAAGGCTTGTTTCCAGTATGCTCAAACCCAAGAGCTTCTGAAGGCCCCAGAGATAAAGAAATACCAAGAGGTTAGCCAATGATAACATATCCCATGAACAAGAACAAATTATTTAAATTGCACAGCACCCTAGCAGCTCTGATTAAAATCAATTGCAGACTAAAAATATATTGGACTGTCTAAGGCTGGCATGGCTCAATTTTGAGAATATGCCTCACATAAAGGCCACTTCCAGAAACATTTCTTCCCTCCACACACACTAGAGTCAAATTAACACTAATCTCTTTCTGTCAGTCATTCTCCATGGCATTGCCTCAGCAATTAAAATTTAATGTGTGCAAAAAGAAACCCCAGAGCATTATGCGCTTCGATAAAACTACTCTTTTAAGCAAATCAGCATTGCAGATGCATTCCTTGTCCTGATAGCTTTAGTTTATTCATAACTGTTAGGAGTAATGAGGAGGGAATTAATCAGGAATAATATTTTAGTTCAGCTCTGATTCTTGATGATATTATTTAGACAAACTGAAGAAACTCTGCATAGTTCCTATATTGTTGATATTTATCTTGGAATGTAGCAAGTGAAACAAGCATCAGTGCAGTACCTTGAGGTCTGAAAAGTTCAGAAAAACATGGTTGTAAAGTGATGTGCTTCTTGCAATTCTTCAAGAAATCTCCTTTTCAAATTACAATCTCTGCTTTGCTAGTCTGTGGGTAAATCTAATGCTTAAAATGTGTGTGTTGATTAAGGTTTACTTGCCTTTTGAACTTGTAGAGGATGAAAGCCCCGACTGCAACTAGACAGATAACAAAGAGAACCACAATAGCCCAGTAGCCACTGCCTCCTCCAATCCTCTGAGAGTCTGAAATACAAAATAAAAGAACAGTATAGCATGTCCTCTTTCACATCAGTCACATTGTTGAGCCTTTTTTTCTATTTAATTGTCAAGTCGAAAACATTTGTTGGTATTTGTGCAACCTCTTCTTTTCCCTCCATCTGTGGCTTCTTCAAAAAGACAAAAACACAGAATTAATTGGTGACTTGTGACTGAAGGACAGAGGGCCAATTAAAAAAAAACAAACCAACAACAACCCCCAAGACCCTGGAGATTTAATTATTCACATACTCAGTGGTTGTTTTTTTCCTGGGAATCTAAAGTTTTCATAGTAAATGATCACACACCCTGAGTACATATGCCTCACAAAAATAGGGCTGTATTAATTTAACAGATGGAGAAACTAAGGCTCTGAACAACAAATGAACTCATCAAGGTCATACATCAGTAAAGGCTGGAATGAACATGGGCTTCTTTCAATCCCAGCCTTTTGTGGTGGCTAACGAATGTCAACCCTTTAAACCAGATGAGGTACCTCAGTGAGACTGTAGCAGAGTTCTACAGATAAAAGAGTTTTGTCTTCTACAGAGAGCTGACAGATAAAATATCACTAGCATTTACACAAATTGATTGTGGTCAGCTAAAGCTGTTCTCCCATAACACACTGAAATACGAAAGAAGGATATATTATGGGAGATAATATACAAAAAATTACAGGACATTCCAAAAAAAGATTCAAGTCAAAGCTGAACTTTCTGGTTAAAACATCATTTTAACCTCTCTCTGTTAAAAATACACACACTTATGCACATATACTCTCTTCAACCAGTTTCCATCAACACAGTGAATCCAGAGAGGCAGGAAATGCACACATAAAAATCCCCTCTATCCACTTGTTTTAGAAAGAGTAAAAACATAATTTATCTCAGGACAGGATTAGCAATGTGGAGACCCTACAGCAACCCTCACATTAGTTGAGTTGAAGATCAGAGATACATGGCAGAGAAGCAAGCCTGTGTCTCTGACCCATGTAGTTATAGCAGTTATAGTAGTTATCTCAGCTAATGGCTGAGATAAGGGTAAAGAAGCTCTGTTTTCTCAGCAGCCAGTGCAACCAAAATGCCTTTAGATCACCAGATGGGGTTTTTCGAAGCCTAGTTGCCTCTTCCTTCAGGGAACTATTTTGTGCAATAGAGGTATTTACTTAATGTTGTGGTTACACAGAAAAAGCAAGAAGCTTGTGATACAAATCATGAGCTATGACAAAATGGAAATACCTAAGAAATATTTATTTGGTTGTGATTCTTATTAACTATCAAATGGAAATGTATACATATATATGTGTGTACACATATGTGTATATATATTAACATTTATATATTTATGTGTTTATTCATATGCAACAAGTACCAAGTTAGTATATACATGTGTTATATGCACACGTATATATTGATACAAAGATTTTTTCCTTAACTTATCAGAATTCAAACTGGCATCCAAAATTGGTCTGTTGGGAGCTTTGTTTACATATTTACCTGAACTGGAGTCAGCTAAAGTCACCAAGACCCAGTATCCTCCCCTCAGAAAGAAACTGATGTTGTGTGCATTCAGGGCCTGCTTTATAGCTGCTATTCTCTGAAAATACAACAGAGAGAATGTCAGACGTCTTGTGCTGTGTTCCACTTTGAGACACCCAATGCTCTAAAAATGAAAACCTCTGGCTCATTAAATGGTGAGAAACTCAGAAAGCATTTGTCAATGAGCTGAAATCTTGAAGAAATTCCATATATAAAAATCATGCAAAACTCCACAAGAAGCTGAAAATGTCAAAAGTTTATAGCCAATTCTTTCTTTCTGATTACCAAAGTCTTTACGTTTACCCAAGAGGTGACAGACAGCAAGTCATTTACATGCACTATTGAGTTTATCTGGGTCATAACTCACACAATGAATAAAACATATCAAAAATTCTCAATTCTTCTAACCTATCAGAAGAAAACCTGTGATGTCACTTTGGATTTCTTTCTATGAAAAGTAACTGCTATTTAATAATGAACTGCATGTCATAATTTACCTTAACTCGTTACCTATAATGGGATGAATTCCACTTATATCTATTTTTTAAGAATACTCTGTAGAAATATATACATCCATTCACATGGAAAAAAAAATCGGTATTCCTCCCATTTTCCTCCAGTGGATAGAGTATAGTAAAATATGGTCTCTCCTATTTTTATGGAGCAGAACCATTAAATACACCATCATATCCTAACCCCAGATGACAAATTGCCTGAATTATCCCTTCTACTTGCTTGTGTCTTCAACATGGGCAATTTTCTAAAAGATCAAATCTAGTTTTATACTCTATGCCTTATAATTTGGGGTATGACTTCCCAGAGGATGCCAAATTAGAAATATGCTTTATATCCATGAAACCTTCACAAGTAACTTCTTTAATGATATTATCAATTATGATGCTCATCTTTGACAAGCCTTTGCAGTATAATAGATAGAAATCCCTGTAGTCTCTCTTACACTATGGACAGAGACTGTACAAAAGTTCAAATATCTTCATTCTTATTGAGGAATTTCTAACTTCTGAAGCCATTTCACTGACTTTATTACATTTTTTTGTATGGGAATGTCTCAGCATAAGGGTGATGTGAGCATGGCTTCAGTTATTTTACAAGACAATTACACCAGATAGCTCCTGAGTTGCCTGAAGTCTGAAAAGACAATGGATATGAGAACTACACTGTTTAGCAGGCTTCAAACTGATGCTGGTACCATGAAATAGAGTCACTTCATATCAATCCAGGTTCATTCATGTGTTCATGGTGTACAGTGCAAGAGGGACCACTACTTTAGGTAAATCTGACTTACAGCCAATAAATGAAATTACCGAGTTCCATAACTTTGGATACCTTATACTTTCCTAGCAGGTGCTTGAGGAACCCAACATATGCTTTGGTTTTTGCCTAAGTGACTAATACTTGTTCGTTATTCCTCTCCCCACCGCTGAGCTCCCACCCAAGTCTATGTGAACTGCAGCTCCACAGGTCAAAACTTTGAATCTCATGTGAGTCCAGCCAAAGGCTCTGGCTTATTTATTTCACTGTTAGACTGATGGGTTTTTTGGTATCCACGGGTGTTTTTTTTCTGCTTTGCAGTATTTACTGAGCATGGTGCTGCCACCTCTCCAATTTTTTAACAAATACAGTGTTTGGAGCTCCTCTCTAGACTTTCTAAGTTAAGGTTCTTATACCAGCATTTGAATTTTCCATCTTCTTTTTTTACATCCTTTCTGATGATAATGTTTGTACATGGGAACACAACATCTCCTGCACTATAAGAATGCAAAAATAACGGCACTATTCAAACCCTTACCCACTTACTTATACATCTGGGGTTCTGACTTTCCCTTTTAGCCAAAGCAACTCTGGGAATTTTCATGCACTAGTTTGTCTGGATAGAGTCCCAACTCTTCCTCAGAGCCACTGTCTTTCAGATTATAGTTTAATTGCACTTTAATTGACTCTTTCCACTGGACTCATCCCACCTGACATTAGACATGTAATAGACGTGCATAAATTAAGCAACCAAGTCTTCTCTAGAGTCAATGATTAGAATGGAATACTTTTGAAACTGTTGTCTTCCTGAAAGCAGGTTAAATCAGTCAGCTCCATGCATAAATTTTAAACAAAAAGGGCTTCTGTCAGATTGGAACCAAATTTCAGAATTTTTCCAAAGGGCTCCTACTACTACACTGACAGCTTACTTATCATCTTTGTTATTGATGGTTACTGTTATCAATAATGACTCCTATGCTAGAGAGTATCACATCCCAACACTCCATGTAAAACACCAGTAAAAACTCCAGCAAGTAGGTTTTCTCTGCCTGACCAAGAAATTATTGCCATTAACAATCTTTCTGAAATAACGTAATATTCCCAAATCTAAAAGGTTTTCAAGCCAAGAACCAATAGGTTCTCTTTAAGGGAAGACATTTCATAAGTTAAGGATTTAAGGGACACCTCCTTCAAATGGGCAGAAAACATTCTGCATTGGTGAGTCCTGCCAGTAGTATCACAACACACCCCAGCAGTGTGACAAAGCACATCCTTCCAGTGACACCTAATAAAGACCATCAAGATTCTCTTCTGGTGACAGAAGAGAATGTAAGAAATCTTTAAACAAGTGACAACAGAAGTATTTTCCTGTTGACTTAACCAGTTACTGCTTCTAAGTTTATTTACTGCTTTCTAAGTTTCTAATGCGGCTCAAACTGCCACAGGTATATTTCAGGATATTTTCCAAGTCACAATAGATTCTGATACAACACATTTTATCAAAATTTGTGCCATCCAAGTCTAAATCAACAAATTTATACGCACATATCAAGAGCTAAAGTAGTGCCCATTAGCAATAATATAAAAATAGAAATGTAGGCAGCTGGCACTAGAAGACTGACTCTACAGCACTGTACTCTATAAAACAATGTATGTTGAAATGTGATATTAGTGCACATGACTTTTTATCATTGGATAGCATAGGACTCTGTAATTGCTCCTGTCTCCCTTGTTCCTCCTCCATGGGTCTGGCCCCGTTCATCCTAATAATGTCAGAAATGCACATCTATTCTCCAGATTATACAACTACTTTCCCCTTTCAGTGCTCCTCTACTTTCAGAAAAACTTTGTAAGATCTTACTGGAGGACTACTTATTACAAAACCATGCCCTGTTAAACTACTGTAATATCCCTACAGTCCCATTGAACAGAAGCTTTTCCAAATCATTTGCAATATGTGATTGTTCTTCTTTATGCTTTAGGACAACTCACTTGATGTTTCCTATACAAACATGAAGAAAAACCTTGAGGCAGCATTGATTACAATTGATGATATTCTTTAAGTTGCCTTGAAGCACAGCACCAATATAGAAATTGGGATTTAAAGGCGACTAATATGCATAACACTTTGCACTGAAATAAAATGTTGGTACAACAGAGGAATCTATCACCATTAGTTTCCTTACATTATTAAAGACCCCCATTCCACATGCATTCAAAATAAAGATTTTCTTTTAGAAGCTGCACTTTGCTTCTTCAAGAAATGGAAAGTTGCAAATAATTTTGAAGTGGTAATATTCCCCTGGCTGAAACCATTAGTTCGTGAGTCACTCTCAACAAAAGAAACAATTTGTTAAAATTAACTATTTTCTGCAACATAATCAGGAATTCAGACTCCTGGGTATTCTCACCGTGATTACAGGGGAGAATGGTAAGGGTATGGGAATGCCAAAAAAGTAGAAAACTTTGTGCACTCTCGCTGTAGTCTGTTGTGGTAGTTTGGCCTAGACCTTCCTTGGTGACCAGCTTGTAACCAAGGAAGTGTCCAGATTTACCCGGTATTCCCTACGATTTTTACGTAAGCTGGGGTATAAGAAGAAAGGAGGGGACGCCTTCGCTCTCTTTCCTTCCAGTGGTTTTGGAGGTGCAGATCTCCCTGTTGTTGAGTCTGTCGGCTTGGAGAGTGAGGCCTGGTAAGGCCTTGTCGACCTTGGGAGGCAGAGGCTGCCAGCAGTCACCCCAGCGTGATTCTCCATTGTCCCAAGGAGAGTAGTAAGATATTCTTTGCTAATTCTTTTAGTTGATAGACCTTGGGCTAATGATCGGGATATATATATATATATATATATATAAATTTTGGGTTGTGTTCTTCCCTTCCCCTTTCCCTTTTCCCTGTGAAATTGTATATATATTTCAACTGTACATAACTGTAATATAAGTGTAAATATATTTATATATATATTGCTTTGTCTCTTTCTCGTTTTCGGTTCTTTTGGGTTTTTTCCCCTCTTCTCCCTTGGTTTGGGGTGGGAGGGGGGGACTTCTTGTAAGGTTTGGAGACTTGGCAGGGAGCCAGCTCCAAACCATACCATCTGTGCATCTTAAACACAGACACCTGTTCAAGTTCTTGGACAACTTCAACATACTCCTTTGGACCTTTCAAAGTGTATCTCATCAACTCCAAACACAATCTCCTGGGTTTGTGTTAATATGAAGAGCTTCGTTTTGCCTACTTCTCCAGCCCTTTGGATGCTGTGACCTTGTCTTAAAAAGCTGTAAAATGCCCTTCAAAATTAATGATACCTTACACTGATTCTTTGTAACCAGCAGGACTTGAAATCCAAGATACAGACACAGAGCTGGGATCTGTTCCTTCTCTATCACAGTAAAGGACAAATATAATAGATTATAAGCACCACAGAGCTTTCTGGTTTTCAACTGGCATAAGGTCTTTTATTATGAAAGAAACATGGTTTGGAAATAAATAGGGAGAAAACAATGTCTGATTTTCATTCCAGTGTCCACTATATTTGTTTCTTGCCAACTGAAAAGGACATTTGTTCACAAATGCAGAAAATACTTGCTTGATGCTCTTCACATTATGGGTCAATTACTAAGATTCTGGTTCAGTTTTGACCTGAAATCTAATTTGCTTCTGAAGACAGTGCAGAGATGGTTCATCTCTCTTTAGAAGTATCAGTGTTCTAAACACACTCTTTGCTTTACTGGCCTTTCACAGGATGACATGCATCGTCGCTGTTTCTGTTTAAAAAATCAGATCAACATCAAATATTCTTTAGAAATACACTAATACCAGTAAGCACTAGATTATGCTGGTCTTTACGATGACAAACACAGCAGACATAGCTTCATGTGAGCTTCTACATGTATCTTGTCAGGTGGGAGTGAGATCTTTACATAGGTAGGGAACACCTCTCAATTTCGTATAAAGACAATGAGTACAGACATTTATTGCAAAACAGGATCAAGACTGTCCCAAACAGACATGCATTGCCCTGTTTACCTTATCACTAGTTAAACTTCTCTTCTTTTTCGGTTGGTTTGCTGGTAGTAGCACATGCAAGTCAGCAGCTGTGGGTAGACCAGGTTTCACAACTGTCATGAGTGTTTCTTCAGGTATATTGGTTTCCTGTGAAGACAACAAAGGCATATGGCAAATTACAGGACAGCACACTTCGTGTTTTATATAAAACACATAAGTAACTCCACATGTGGCTTTTAGATTTGGTGTTCAGATCCCAAATATTTAGAAGGGATTCCACTAGAAGCTAAAGTATGAACAAAGTGAAGCATAAGTGTACTGAAATGTGAGCTGCTCTTTGAAGATTGGAAGAGCTAAGTGTTGTTTTCACATTAAAGTAATTCAGTGGCATCAAGAAAAGAAGCAAAATGAAGAGGTATGCAGGTTTTATCAAAACTCTGCAATGGCTGACCATTTCTAGGGTAAGATAAAACAAAAATCCTGAGTGATTTAGGATCTTTCATGGGCCATTCAGACACAGTGTAGACTTAGAAGGGCATGTTAATTACAGCTAACTTTAGCTTAGAAAGGTTACTTTTACATCTGTGTTTTACGAGCAGAGAGAAGTCTTCGAATGTGAGACTAGGAGCACCTAGGTTCAGTTCCCAAAATGGTAACAAATACCATCATTTCCCCACTGAAAGTCAGATGCATCACTTTTCAAAATATTTTGTCCAAATTTGGTTTTAGTCCCAAGTTCCTCCACATGTTCTACAATACAGCCACACAATTCTAATGATGACACTCTGGGCACTTGCCATAGCCTTCCTCAAACAGACTCTGAAATTCCATTAAATTTTCCATATACTTGGGCAAATGTTTTAGTAATTCTTAAAATGCAAGGACTATTTTATAAGGGAGTAAAATATATTTTTGACTGACACCTGTTATGAAATGAGTTTAAGTTGATAAAAGTGGGAAATTACTTTAATTTGATGTTTGATATGAGCCTATAAAAAAAGGCAGGAAACTGTATAAAGTCAAAAATTTAGAACCTGACGAACTACTGCAAATCCAGGAAAAATAAAGTGATTTAAAATGCATATATTTTATAAACAATATCAACCTGTACCTCAATGCTACTGCCTTCAAAAAAGCCAGTGTGTGCACCCTCAGTTCCTGGCAGGGTGTGTACGTGAAGAGCACAGCCCTCAAGCTCAAAGTTTTCATGAGGTGCTTTTTACTTATCTCACAGTACTACTCCAGAGCTTTGTATTTAATTTAACTTGCAGGATTCAGCTATTCCCAATCCACATATCTTTTGTGAACATGATCTAAAAAATCAGCTGTACAAACTGCATGCCTATATATTATATGTATTTTTATAGTTACACAACTAGCATAATAAATTATTTCTTTGTGCTTTGTTTTTACACAATATCTTTTATGTTACAAAGCATCCTTTGCTTAGCTTCTAAATCTCTCACATTTAAGCTACTCTTCTTGTTTTGGAGTCAGCAGTACTTGCCAATATGTCTATTCCTAATCCCAGAGAGCAATATTTAGCATTAATTGCCAATTAGGCTGTGTTAGACCTAAACTATCTACGTTACAATATCATTGTCTACAGCCTGCACGTAAAAGTGACACTAGGCTCAAACTTGCTTGAAATGTGGCTCATGAGGTTCACTTTATTATTTTGCTCTGCCTCCTTTTTTCTAAATGAGAAGGTATTAACTTAACCTTCAAGCTTTATGACTGGTGAGGGAACATTTTACGAGCAATCTGAAAGAGCACCTTTGCAAGAAGTCGTGTTACTACCCGCCCTATGTCTTCCCTCCACTCTGGTATGTCGGGGTTGTACATGTCCAGGTGTTTAGTAAACTTCAAAGGAAGAACGTGAAAATGATCTAGAAAAACAAAAAGAAACATTTTGTACAAGTAATAAACCGGGTTGCAAAAAGGGTTTTGTAGAACTAAAAGCTGAAAATCTATATTTAGCATTTTTTGCTGTGCAGCACTGCAGTATCTGGGACCCCCACTGCTCTGTGTTGTCAGACACTCAATTTCTCCCTGTATTTTCATCAACATCATCAAATTTGTGCCTAAAGACTGAAAAGTAGTAAGAAAAAGAAATAAACAAAGGAGATTTACATACATGCTCTCGGGTCATAATGTTCCCAGTAATTTTCCCTTAGGTCAATAAGTCACACAGAAGCGATTGGTTTCTTTAATTTGAAATGAGAATGTGCCAATGGGTTGTATTCTTACCAAATCATAAATATGCGGGATTTTGCCCATTACATGTTCCTGTTTTCCATACAAAATGAATACCTCACATACTGCATAAACTAGATATGAAAATAAGAACAGAAATTATATTACAAATGCTAACTACTGCCCTCTTCAAAAAAATAAAACCAAGGTACATCCACAATGTTTCTCTGGATATTGTCAAAAATATCTGATATACTACAAATGGGTTGATCCTCAGAAAATAGTCTCTTAAAACCTTCCCTTTCTCCCACATGCTCCTTGGATGAACACCTGGGGAACCTAATGCAAAAAAGAAATAGTCTGGAATGAACGAGTCAGGCCTGCCTCCCCCAATACTTCCAACAGAATTATATTTTAGTGTGGCTTTCTTTTCCAAAAGCTTCTTTATTTCTGTCATGGCCAGTACTTTCGTGCTCCTGATATCAGGATTGGTCAATAGTAAGAGCAAAAGGAGTGCTGGAAAGCCAAAGTCATTGATGTAGTCACACTAAGAGGGTTATACTTCTAAAGGTTACAAAAAAAGCTGATGCACTTATACATTAGTGGTGGCATAAATGTTAAATCCATTTATCTTAGAAAAGGAGAAGATTCATAAAAGCTCCATTTAGCATAAGTGTGGTTTTAAACATTATTTTAAATTAATAAGCATACTAAAAGCAAAAATAACAGAATCTTCTTCAGACAATAGAGATGTATAATGTTGTGTATTGCGTGATATCAGAAGGCTTCTAGCTCTGCATTAAGAAGAAGCTTTTATACTTATCACAATTCCCACATGTGACAGCACAAATACAAATGTAAATAATTTGCCAGCACTACATTTTCCACAGTATATTATGCCTTGTCACCACATTATAAGACACAAAAAACCACCAGGGCACAGTGTGGAACAAGAGCTGAAAGGTTATTCAATAATTACAGCAGAGCTATGCTTGATCCAAACTCTCAGATAAACATCAAAGGTATAGTGACATATTGTGATAAAAGGCAATTATTTGACATTGTTTTCAATGCTGAGAACACATACTCAACTAAATTTTCATTTTTTTTCAGAGGCATTTAAACTAATTTATTTAGAAATTCTGGGAAACTTTCCAGTTTTAGGCCAAAATACTACTTAAACACTGTTGCCACATATAGCATTTGAGAACCACAGTAACATTTAAAATAATAAGAAGAAACAAAATGTTTCAGATTACATCCTTCCACACAATCCCACTGTTCACTTCATGGAGTTACCTTGTGACAGTTCTTCCCTTTTAAGAGTTAAATGTGGCATTAGACATAACTTTACAAGAAGTTCAGTTGTACCAGGACTGGCTTAAGATGTACAATAACAAGTACGTATGAAACAAAAAAAAATGAAAAAGACTAATGTCTCACCAAAAACGTGGACAACTTTTGAGTCCTGAAGCATGGAGCTCCCACAGGAAACTTGCACTGTAACTCGGACATCACCTGTCTCAGCAAACTTAGTCACCAGAAAACTCTCCAATGTAAGCAGTGGCTTTAAAAAACAAAGAAACGTTGAAAATATAATTTGAGCAAGAACCACAAGAACAGTGTCTGAAAAGGCTGTAACTAAAAATATCAGCAAAAAGTTTTCACATCAATTTTCAATTAATCAATATTTTATCAAATTATTCAATAAAAATTTTCAATACAGGATGTTTCTTTCCCTAAATGGATCTTTTATAAACAGAATAGCAGCCAGATGGGGCAAATATTTCTTCTAGAATAATCGGTAGAGTATTAGGGTTTCAGTCAGATCCACTAAAATAAACGGATTTTGAGGCAGATTCAACCAACTCTATAAGATTACATGAAGTTGCCTCAAAAAAATGAGGGGTACATCAGGGTCAAAAGGATTAACGCTGTCAACTTAGAGCACCAGTCCACAGTAACCTCCAAGGCAGAGCTGAGATACTCAGCTCCCTGACCACATCCACATGAATTACAAAACCCTTCACAAGACTATGTGGACCTGCAGTACCTGTTCTAGCAATGGCAAAGTCAATAATAATGAACAGATACAGGCTGGTTTTATGATAGACAGCACATTTACAAGAAGAAAGTTCACTGCACGTATTTGAAGCATTCCTCTGCCTCATAAAGAAAATATTTTGCTTATCTGTTATTGAAAGAATTACCTTAAAAGAAATTAAGGTAGCTAGACAATAAATTTTGCCAATAGAAATACTGGAATATTTATTGCTCTAGGACATGTTTATCTAGACCTTGATCCCCAAATGAATATCACTAGATTCTTTGAGTGCTCTCAACATTTTGATACCCTTTAAGATATCCCATTTTTTTTAATATGCCAGTTTAGACTCACAGAAAATATTTATCTATACAATGAATATATATATATTTCTGTACAGCACTTTAATTTACAGTACTCACATTATCAATTTAGAAGTGTATAAATCCAAGTTCCATCATTCACCAATGTCATGATCCCAAATCCATCCCCGTCTACAAGTTGTTTTTTTCCACAGGTAATCAAATACAATAAATTGTTGTTCTCCCCCCCCATCGAGAAAATAGTTTGGAAATTGAAAGAAAGGAACAACCTTTATCAAAAAGAGATTGAAAATAATCTCAGTAAAAACCATTTGTGTACCTGAAGATTGTTTCCTATCCACCAGTAAAAAACTGTCAAATTAGGGTTCTTAGGCAGTATGATGGCTGTCAGGTTCACCTCCTGGTTTCTTCCAATGACTGGAACCACTTCTAAGTTTAAAGCCTGGAGAGGAGCTGAACAAAGTTCCCAAAATATCATTGAACAAGAATACATCAGTTTATTAATGCCTGTTTCCCCAAAAGCCTCTCACCTGCACATCATCAGGTCCTGAATTTTTTTTTTCCCTCCCTTCTGCTTTTACATCCATGTCAAAAGATATGGACATAATTGGAAGGACCTCATTTCAACAAAAAAATATCCCCCAAATCACCTCAAAATCTCAGAAACAAAATCTTAAGCAATGAGACGGATCAACCAAATGCACTTCTCTAATGCACTTTTTTTCTGTGTATTTCCAATCCTAGAACACATAAGCAAATACTCCAGTTAAAAAGTGGAAAAGGCAATCTCAGCTTGTTTTCTTTTTAGTAACAAAAGATCAAATGAATAGAAATCTAACAAATCTCAAATTGCTAAGGGAAAAGCAGAAAACTGAAAAAGAATGCTGCTGACTACTCATTTTCATTACAAAAAATCAGCTGTTAGGCTCACACCATGCAGAAACTCTCATTAATGCATGCTTTAAAATAGATGTGTATATCAGGGGAGCATTTATTTGCAAATCAAAATAGGATAACCTCTGTACTCCAAAATGTGCCTTAGTGTAAGTTTATTCCTTTCTGAACTTTTGCCTATGAAGGCTGTAAGCATTATTATTTGTATAAAAGAAATGCATCATTACGGTGGTTTTATCTGCTTCTAAGTGTTGTGTTTATTAGAGCTGTACTGCTTCACAGTACAGTAACTGTATTAAAAAAACCCTTTCCCTCAGAGGTTTCTGAGTATATCTTTTTCAGAATGCATAAAGGTAAAAGCTTTATAACAGTATAATATCATAACTAGAATTTCTTAACTTTACCTGCACCATCTACCCAGGATACCAAAATGCTATATGGCCCAACATTCATTCATTACACAGAATGAATATTAACCCATCCATTTTTGTTCCATTCTACATATCTTTTAACTCATTCAAAGGTTTTTCATCTCAGTGCAAACTTACAGGTAGTTAACACTGGTCTAAAGTATTTCCTTTACTCTGTGTCAGGAGCTGAATCACTGCTAATTCACTTTGATTAAATTGATTGAACTTCTCTGAGAACAAGTTGTCTGACCTCCTTTTCCACCTCACTTCACCTGGCCTGTGTGCTGCTTCATCCCAATGTAAGACTCTACTTTCACTCTGCATTTTCTACAATGACTCTTAAATCACCTACATGAATTCAAGACATGTTGGGTGCTTAAACAAATGATTTCTTCACTAGCTTCCAGAGGAGTTAAAATGTTTCTCCCTGTTGCTGGTATCTTGAAGAAAATTCAGAAATTTTAGGAATTTCATTAAATTTGTTCCTCATAGAAACAGAATTTCCTTCTGATGAGGTAAAATAAAGAAGTCTGGAGGGATCTGTGAAAGTGTTTTGATTTTGCCATAAATTTGCATTTTCCCAGAGGAAACTGATCATTTCGAGATATGTTTTTGCTCCTGAAGAAGGCTGCTTTCTTTTCCAAAATTTTTAAGAGCAATTTGTTTGGCCCTTGAGTGATGACTGTTATTTCAATCTTACTGCTCCTATATATTAAAGAGTTGAGAATAATTATTGCAAGTCCTCCTGCTTGTGTCTGTCACACAAGTCCATAGCGCATGGGAACAAGCTTCATAGCACCCTTAAATATGTAATATGAGGACTTAATTGACTTAAATTATTTCTATTTGACAAAGTTATAATTTCCATATAGTTTCCATATAGTTTTCCAAGTTCCCTTATTATTCAATTACTATAAAGATCACGGCTTCATAAAAACCAAAATGTGTGCAGTGTATGTAGCAATGTATGTAGCTTTTTTCCAGGTCTTTTTATTATGAGTTGCCTACTCACATTTATGCTATCGAACTTAATTTCTCTTACAGTTCATTAGAAAGTTGTAGATTGTGTGATCTGGATTAGAAAGCATGATTTGGATGAAAAGCCAAAATTTATATAATTGTCCTGCATCCCATAGCAACAGAACTCTGAAGTGAAAAATATTCCCTTTAATATTCGCCTCTGAAAAAATTCCCTGGGAATAATATATCAGCCAGAGATAGAGTGAAACCAGGACTCTGTGGACATTTCTGCTTTCATGGTATTCCGCAATGAAAATGTTCCTTAATGGCTATTAGTGCTTCACTAGAACATAGAAATTGCAGTCTAATTTTTTAGGTAAATTAGAAGATTCAAGTAAATTAGTTGGCACTAATTAAAGAGAGTAAATCACATAGAAAGCATTTATTCAAGAAGGCTGGGTAACACACTTTCATGAGCCTTCTAGTCCCTGTGCAGCATCCACGGACAAGCTCAGGATGAGATCACATCTGCCTCAGTGCTCTGCTGCCTCTGTACTTCAGCACCAAAACTCCTTTAATGGACCAGTCATTTACTTGTGCAAAGTAACTCTGGCCTCTGCAATTTGAAAATCCACTGCATAAAACAAAATCGACATCTTTTATTTTTACTGTTTATCCTAATACAGGTCACACTGAAAGCGCATTTTGAGAAAGTGTTTGTTCCGCTTTCCATCAGGGCTTGCTACTGCTCATCATTCTCTGAAGGGTTAGAAGTTATTCTCAGAGAGAAGGGTGTCACACCAAGTTTTTTTCCTCTTCGTTGCTTGTACAGACTGTTTCTCTGGCTAATCTACTTCTCAGCACCTGGAAGCTTCTAAAAAGTAACAGTGTGTGGTGGTTTGAAAAACCTTTTCATTGGGGTAGCAATGGTTTGCCCCACTGATAATACTGGAACAATCAAAGGTTCACATGCGCCCTACGGAAATTACATGCCCACAGAAATGGAAGAGAAGGTGGTGAAGATATTTTAGAAGGTAGGTAGCCATGATCTGAACCAGGAGGAAGCAGGGGGCCAGTGAGCCCCTCTGGGGCCAAGGGCCCCCAGCCCTCAGCTGAGGCTACAGGAGACCTGGTATAGCATCAAAGCTGGACCGGGTCCCATAATCAAGAGCTGGAAGTTTCCTTACTGCCAGCAGCAGCAGAAGACATTGAAAAGCGGCAGCGGAGCAGCTCTGAACAGAGACAACGATGGCTGAAAGCCAAAAAGATAGCCAGGAGCAACGAGATAACGTGAAGCTGGCTGAAAGATGCAGAGATGTTCCTGCAGGAGGGAGAGCTGGCAACACAACAGAGGAAAACTCAACAGAGCTGGTTTGGGGTAAGACTGTATTACTTTCCCAAAACCCAGAGACTTCCTGAAGAGGGGTGGACTTCCAAACCCTTAGGGAGTCCCGAAATGCAGCAGCAGCTAGAGAGAGAGAGAAAGGAGCTGAAAACCCAGAGTTGTCCTGAGAGCTGAGCCAGGACGGAATGCAGAGGAGGTGCCCATGCCCTCTGCTGCTGCTGCTGCTGCTTCTATCATGCTGGCGAGCTGAGACAGAGCAAAAGAGCATTGGTAAGAATGAACTGAAAGCTGCCTTCAAAGTTCTAACCCAAGAGGAGTAAAGATCTACAAGGAAATCCCCTGAAGGCTCGGGCTCGGAATTTCCACAAAGTAAGAACAAAAATCCTGACTGCCATACATAAATCTGCTGCCTTGAGAAAATGAAGGACAGTAACCAGTGCCACAGAAAACTGGAATGAGGGAACTGTGGCCTGAGGAGTGACAGAAGGACTTCTTCTCTTTCCTTCTTGGACTTTTATTGAAGGAAAAGAGGAATTTAATTCAATGTAAATATATATATATATGTGTGTGTGTGTAAATAAACCTTTGTAAATATTTTCCCCTTACCCCAATAACGAATGGTTGTGTTTTATCTGAAAACTCTCCATATGAGGTGAAAAAGATATCAAGTGCATACCACCACTAAACCCTCTCACAGGGGCAAATTGTGGGAGGGGGGCTTGAATTTAGAAATTGGATCCTTGAGAGTTTCAAACCACCACACAGTGAAGCCCTAAGTAATTTACCTGAGCTCTCTGGGGTTGTCAAATGATTTAAAAAATAAACACAACAAAGAAACAGATAATGAAACTGAAGTTGAGAATTTGACTGTGGTCCTTTCTGTTTGATTTTATTAGTATGAATGGGCCCCACCTGTCAATCAAAGCAGAACTGGAAACTCTGGACTCAAGGACACTGACCAGCAAAATACATAAATATCAAGCTGACATGGATCTGTGCACATCTGTGTATATGGCTCCAGTGATTTCCATTGCTTTGGGATTAGGATGGAAGACACACCACTCACAACAGAGGGGAAACAGACACCTGGAGAATGCAAGATGAGTGTCTTTTCCTTTGATGTTACTCGTTTCTGAATTTTTGACACATCTGAAAACAGGCAAAGCAATAGCTGCCTTGAATCTCAAAGAAAGAGGAATATTCAGTTCCAGTTATGAGTTTCCCTCTTCGTTTCAGTTATGAGATGACTGAGGTACATTAAACTTGCAATGGTGCATGATATTCCCTGTGCCATGATATTCTTTATTTTATATCTGTTTAATTGGGTATTTTAGGTCTTAATTAAGGACAGGGAGAGAAGTCTAAGACAAGTAATACTGCCTGCCAACATGAAGTTATATCCAAGTACCATTTAAAATTCTGTGAGAATTAACTAACTAAAATCTAGATTTAGAAACACTGAGATTTTTAGTATTTTTAAAATCACACAAAAGCTCATATGTTTCTCAACACATCTGTTCACTTGCTTTACACTACACCTAGAAGCTTTAAAAAGATATAGTGTTAAACTTTGGCTGCTAAGGCTGCCAAAAGGGTCTTGAATCAGAAAGATGGATAAAATCAGAGATTTGAACTGAAGCATACTTGTTAGTTAAAAGACTAATAAACCATCCTTCTGCCAAAATGGAATAAAAATAATTCTGATCTATTATATTAGGTTTACAACCCTCTGAATTCAAAACATACAACGCTGCAAGGCTGCATGAGGGTGTTGAAAAATATGCCTTTTCCTAATTGCGACTAGTAATTTTCTTTACTACTTCATAGCTGTCATGAGGTTTTTACACAGTGGTAGAAGTAAGAAAAGCAAAGAGATGATTTACAGTTGACTTGGATGAACACCACAGCCTCATCATGCCCAGCCACATTCTCAGCCTTCACCGACACACGGTAAATCCCAGGATTCTCATAGCGGTGACGGATGGGTTCTTCAGTCATCGTAAGGTTCACATATATTGCCTTAAAGCCATCTCCAAGATCTACCTGGTATTTGGTACTCAATATATCACCCTAAAAGGAAAATATATCAAAAACATTTTAAATGGCCAGAACCAAAACAGACAGGACACATGTTTATAACCCTTTACTGAATCACAGCAGCATTTTCAGCCCCTGCCAGACATTCTGACTCAATTGCAATAGCTGCAGTAAAACCACTACAACCCACAGCAATGATGTTAGTGCAACAGATGCTGTGTGCATTAATAGAGATAATACCAAATTTCCACAGGAAGGTGCTACCTTAAAATTAGACACCTCAGACCACTAATCAAGTTGTATGGCACAGAAACCATCACTCTTGTCTTAATGCAGCTGGACATTAATTAACATATGGTGCAATGCTCATATCATTGCAAGCAACTGAAGATTGTTATTCTAGCAAATTACTACTCATCCGGTGAACTTTTAGCCTTTCCAATTATAAAGTAAAATTAATTGGCTTAGGCATTCTTCATGGCACCTTCTAAGCACAGCCTCTTAGTGTCAATTACATGGCCTTTAAGACCCAAGCTGGGATCTTCACACAGAGGTGTACAGCATTATACTGAGCCACCAAGCACGTCTAGAACTACCATGCTCTAGTGCAAAAGTAGATGCATGTTTAATGAAGCAGATTACCAAGCTGGGTTTGGGAAAGGGTTTAAAAGTCCAGCCAAATAAACCTGTCATATCAAACATCTCATTGAATTCACAATTCCTCACACTTCTGCTAAACGCTCCTTTAAATGACACTGTCTTCCTAAACTCAGGCCTAAAGGACTTCAAAGCCGATAATACTTTCAGAGGACAAACATGACTATTACTCATGTTGTCGTGGTATGGCTGCTCAGGAAAGAAATCAGGCCTGTGCTACACGGACTAGAGATTTGGATGCAATCAAAGGAAAATTCATTTTAGCAGTTTGCAGTAATACTTTCTCAATACTACTGGCAGCACTGCCTTGGTGAGCTGCCCTGCTTCCTTGATCTCCAGCAGTGTTTATGTTCTGGCTTGCTTGCCATCACAGCCACGCAATTAAGACAGGCTACAGGGCCAGGCTTCATAGAAAAGCCCCTGTGTTGTGAAAACACAGTATTGATTTAAAAAATTTCATTGCCTCTGGGAAAGGAATGTATACACCCATGTGCTGGTCAAGTGACAGGAAAGGCCATCAGAGCAGAGAAGGACTGACACCAATCAAAGCATTAAAAAATCACTTCACTTCTCCAAAAGCCACTCTGAAATAGGTTTATTCTAAAATTTAATCTCAAAAGGAAGTGTTAATGTAATTTTTTCAAAATGGCAACAATCAGCCATTGGAATAATCTTCCCAGGAAACGGGTGGATTCCCCATAGCTGGACACTTTTAAGATTCAGATGCACAGGTGCTGGCCATCTTGTCTAGGCTGTGCTTTTGCCAAGACAGGTTGGACCAAGTGATCATCGAGGTCCCTTCCAACCTGGCAGTCTATAATTCTATGATTCTTTGAAAATCAAAGGAGGTACCATGCCTAGAATTTATGTTCCCTGGCATTATGGAAGGACGGGAAATATACCATTATTTCCTCCTTTTGTTATTTGGCAGTGTGGTTGATTTTCTTCCATGTTTTATCAGATGAAAGAACATTGCTTACAATGTAAAAGAACACCCATAATAAGGAACCTGTAGGATTATCAAATACCTAAGCACCATATTTCAAGACACATAAAGGACCTTAAAAGCCTCTTCACTGTGAATAGTTTTTTCTTTCTTCTGACAACAGAATAGTAGAATTTAGCAGAAGAGATAATATATTATTACAGTTTAAAGCAAAAGAGATATGTTCTTGCCAGCAGTATAAGTGGAATCTCTTTAGATGACATTAGCTTGCAAAGAGTTCTTGTTCTCTCTTTCTTATGCTAACAAGTACACATGCGTATTTTTTCCAGGTGAGACAGAAACCAGCGTTAAAAGCCAATAGATGCAAGTTTCTCTTACTATATTATTCTAAATAGCTTCCCTAGTGTAAGGACGAGAGTGCTGTATTCAAAACAACAAGGTACTTCTATTTTCCAGACCAATAAACAAAGACAGCAGTGGACAGAAAACAAAAGAGTCACATAAATCAGCTAAATTTATAAGAAGTTGGGGCTTCCACTTCCATAAAAAATAGGAGATAGTCATGATATTATTTATTCATATATTCAGCCAACAGACTATGGAAAAAAAATTATCATCATCATCATTATTGCTATTATTTCTAAGGACACTTGAAAACTGCCCAAACATACTGTAAGTATGCTTTCTTTACTCTCTGATGTCTGGCATTCCTGCATTCTCAGAAACTAGTAAATTAATTTTGTTCATTGGAGAAAGTAGTATGTTTTGGTTTATTGTAGTAGAGCCATTTCTTAAACTCAGTAATTGTTATGAATTCTCATTGGATTTTGTCATATAGATTAAATCCTAAGAAACGCTTAAGACATTTGAGTTTAAATATTATTCTTAGCCATAGAGGGCACCAAACTGCTACATTTCTTCTAAATCTGCCTTCCTCTTTGATGAACAGAGCAAAGACTTCACCAGGAAACACAGCACGAGATTCTCTTCAAGATCCCTTACTTCTGAAGATTTGTGAATAATTTTAAATGGTTTTCATATTGCCACAGAGATTCATGAAAGCTTCAGTAGGAAAAAAGTCAAACTGCCAATCAAAATCATTAGAGTCCAAATTGCAACCAAATGCTCTGGGCTTACAATAAACATTTCCAAACAAATTCTAGAAAGAAAAGGCAGCAGAACTTGCCACACAAACTGTTGGGGCACCGCACGCATTGAGATGCAGAGCCTGAGAAGCATTAAGCAGCCCAGTGTTCTGCACGTAACTTTCTTGATTCCATTACAGAAATAAATCCCAAGTGCTCAATTTATACTGCACAGGTTTGCCAAAATGTGTGAATTTTCTTCAAGTTCTTGCAAATCAGTGGGGTTAGCCAGGATGTACAAATACTCTGGTAACCTGAGCACAGCAGTTATAGCCTAATGCTGAAAAACAAGCATAAGGAAACATACCCATGGCAAACAATTCATCCAAAAGTTACTCACTGCTGTTGGTCAGGGCCCTAGGGCATTGTCTCTCTCAATAAACAGAAAAAAACCCATATCTTTGGCAACACACTAATATATAATAAATATTCTTATGCTGTGCTATTTGCTGATTTCTGTAAAGCTTTGCCTCATTCCTTTCTGAAAGGAAGATTCTCAAAAACACTTAAACCCGAATATTAAATGTTCTCTGCATTTCTGTTCTTCTCTGATACAACAGCTGAGATTTTCAGTCCAAGGAGACTTTGGTAATGCAGTTGCTTTGATTTTCCAAGAAGCTATTGCCTTTGCTGCTGAGGACACAAATCCCGTTCTGTGGGTAGAACTTGGAGATTCCCTGAGTTTACTGTCTCATCTGATTCACTTGAAAACAGAAGTTTCAATATTTCCAAATCCATCAATCCTTGTCTCAAGCACAAATTAATCTTCATTCAGCAGCAAAGCAGGTAGGAGTGAAATTAACCCTAAAAGCAGCAATTAAACTTTCATGGAGCCAATGTTTATTACTACCTGCTCTTGTCTGACAATGAAGGTGATGTCTTCCCCAGGCCTAACAGCCAGGCTTTCTTCTCTGATGCTGATCTGAAGTCCCTTGGGAGCAATCAATGGACACATATGCTGTGCTACATTCTGCTGCAGGTCTACGCCACCTTCACACACATTAGAGACAACTTTCCTGTACCTGCAAAAACAGTAAGCAGTGAACATGGTGAACTGGAGGTAAGCAAAAGAATGCCATCAGAGAAACCAAATGCAAGTGTGATTGTAGCTAATGCATTTTCCTTGGGTACGCAGACAAACATGATTGCAGATGATCAAAACCAACTCGCAACGCAAGTACTTGGATTGGGGACATTGCCTTTACTAAGGAAAACCCATTGAAGAAGGGTGGTGTGGAGCATGACGAGGATTTCACTTCAATGCATTAGAAGAGTCTGTCTTTTCAAACTTAGAAATGTGTCTGACTATCTCCAGGAGATAGACAGTCTTCTGTCCTCCTTGCCATCCCCCTTCCTAGCATTCAACAGTCTTCATTGCTCTAGAAGTTTTGGTTCAAACCCCAAAGATCAGGAAGAAATTAGACCAAGCAGCTTCTGCATTAACCCAGAACTAATTGCTTAACTGCTGCTCTAAAATCAATTAATTTCTTAAAAGGCGTGTAACATTTGTGTAACATAACAGTATAAAAGATTGAAAGAAGTAACACTTTTCAAGAGCTAATAATGAAATACTTGGGCATGTACAGTAATTATTTACAGATCAGTTTCACACAGGTATTTTTAAATCAGTCCTTTAAAATCAGTCATATGTCATTCTTTTGAATTCCCACTCTGTATATCACAGCTGTCACCCGCAACCCAAAAGGCATCATTTTCCTCGGTAAGGCAAATATACACAGAGACTGTGATTCTATTGCCAGATTGGACATTTCATCATTTGGTTCTCATCTCTACAACTGACTGAGATGGTGTTATGATAAGCCAGAATAGATGCCAGCTGCAAGTTATTCTCAGCACAGACGTCAGACTACATTGTAGTGTATATCCTATGTGGTATTGTTTACAGTTACTAAAGCTTTCCTTTGATTCTGAGTGTCCCATAGGGTCAGGAAAAAAATTTATTCTTCGCAGAACTTCTTACTCTTATGAAAATGAGAGACTGGGAAATTTTGTGAGATGTTACCAGGTCCTCAGAGTAATTTATGAGGTCAAAGCTGAAAATTGCTCTGGACCTAAGCAATGAGCTAAAAGAAAAGGCTTTGAGTGGACATTCCTATCAGAAGTGTAAAAATGGCTACAGAATGTTACAAAAAAAAAATTAAAATGCTACAAACAAGACAGTTCCCCCTCTTGTTGAACAGATTAGGTTTTGAACCACTGGGAACATGCAAAGGAACAATTATCTTCCCTTAATTTGTAGGAAGCTTCTGCACATGCACTAACTCAGTCACAGCTTTTGCATTTCCCAGTTTTTACAGTTTGCCTTATTTACATTTCATAGACTCACAGACTGGTTTGGGTTGGAAGGGACCTTCAAGATCTTCTAGTTCCAATACCCCAGCCAGGGCAAGGAACATATTCCACTAAACCAAGTTGCTCAAAGTCCCACCCAACCAGGACTTCTCCACTTCCAGGGAACAACTGCACAAGTTGTTCAGTGTCTCACCACTCTCTCAGTAAAGAATTTCTTCCTAATATCTAATCTCAACCTATTCTGCTTCATCTGTAGGCCACTCCCACTTGACCTATCACTACATGCCCTTGTAAAAAGTCCCTCTCTAGCTCTCTTATAGGCTCCCCTTAGGTATTGAAATGTGAATTTCTTTCAAGTCACTTTTGAGGCCACTGGTTGGAATATTCTCCCCCTCTTTGGAAGCCTCATCAAGCCAGTTGAACGCAAAACCAGCTTACCCAGTGCTGCTGGTGTATGCCTGCCCCAGCACACAGTCTTCAGGCGGTGCTTCTGGGTTAAACCAAAAGTCAGCAAAGCATTTGTTAGACTCCGACTTCAGAAGTGCAGAGCGCTCAAACCCATAATCACTGAAAAACATCAACACCAAGTGTGTTACTATCTCCCACTTCACTCAGCAGTCTAATTTGGGGTGGATGAGACTACATTTTTAAGAGTAAATAATTTTTTTAGTGTTATTCTACCAGATGAACATACAAGTTGATGAAGCCAGTTCTGTTTTAAGTCTAATTTCAGTAGGAGTTGTGTACACTTCAGGGAAAAACTGGTTGTAATTACTTTGTCAGTTCTGCAAAATTAACTCCCTTGGTACCTTAGATTTTTTAAAGGTTTCCTTTGCCACTCAGACCAAACATTTCCTTGCTTTTTTTATTTTTCATTTGCAAATAGAAAGGGTTTGTTTGCCTTTTAAATGAATCCAATGGTCATTTTTCAAGCCTTGATCAATAGAGAAAAACATCAGGATTTGTTCAGGCAGGTGAAACACATACTTAAACATGGCAATATTTTTAAACAAATGCAAAAGAAACTTATTATTCAAATAACAGTTTACCTATTTATTTATATATGGCTATGTGGGGAGGGGGAAAAAGGAGTAAAATAAACCCATCTCAAACTATTTACTAGCAATAAATGAAAAGGTCCACAGACAGACTCACCATAAGAAATCAGAGTTCACACATTCACAAACTTTAGATGTGAGAGCTGATGTGAAACTTCTCCCTTTAATGCACCATGATGAAATCTTCCTCTTTCGAAAGCTTCTCTGCTGGCCCATGATGCAACGATCACCCTGGATATCAAAGCACTGGACTTATTGCACCGTAACCTACACCACACACACATGACCTTATGTTGTCCTGAGAAAGGTTGATCTTGCTGTATCAGCTTGTATCAACCCTCTCATATTCAAATATATAGGTATAGATAGGTCTCATATTCACTGCTGTCTGCTAACAAGTCATTGCAAAGTTGTAACATAGGCTATATTTCCAGGGCAAAAATCCAAAGATGTAGATGAAAATTCAAGTGCAATCTAACCCATGTTTCATGTGTGCACAATCTAGGCACAAAGCTCTAACTGGTCATTTAAATATTCAGTGTGGCTGCAAGTAGCTGAAGTTCTCTCTAAGTCACCATATCTCATGTTGGCAGTCAACCTGATGTACCAAGCACGTGGACACAGGTAGAATGAAGGCTATCTTTACACACTCCATTGGTAATTGGGCAGCTGCAAGTACTCTGTCAAAGTCATTTTAGTAGTTTCTAATTTCTGAAAGACATTTCGATGCCAATATCCCAAAATACTGTTACTCTTTAGGCTCAGATCTGCATAATATTCTCAGTAAACACACAGCAGTCCCAAACAAGAAGTATAAAATTAGGCATGAGAACTGGCAAATAGGAGCAGTAGAGCTGGAGTAACACATAGTAGTATGCAAAAAATAAACCAACCCTGCAGAGAGCAAAAGAACAAATGTACTGGAAGAAGCAAAACATAATAATCCGAATGATTATGAATAAATATGACATATTCAATTTAATTAAAAAAAACCCCTCAGATTTGCCTCTTCAATCAATACTCTGTAGAGACAATTTAACTTCCCAAAATTGGATTTGGCCAGAGCACCAGGATTAGCACAGCCTTAATGCATTACTGTAGAAATGGCATTGCCCAAAACAACTGGACTCCATTACATGATTGGTCCACTGAGATCCTAAATTACTTCTGGAATGGACTGTACTTATGGCAATTTATATATGAGTACAGTATGTGGTCAGGAAGTTGGCAGAACACATGTTGAAATTGTTTCAATCAATATTACACACTTCAGTTTATGGTATATGCTTCCCAATCTAGCAGGACCACCTATTATTATGGCAACCCAGCAGATATACTTCCACCTTTCCTAGGACACAGATTACACAACCAAAATGAACACAAAATCCTCTGCCATTTTAAACTATTGTGAAATCAGCAAATATCAACATAAGGAGACTAAGCTGGGGATGTGGCATCCAAATTCAATTTGGAAACATTTTCCTAGCACACAGTTCTATACGAATCCGAAAGCTACGGAAAAGTTTTGTCAGTTGACGTAAGACCACAAATACCTGCAGATTTGTGAGGTCCCAAGACTCATAGTCATCATCAGTGCACTCCCTGGGGAAGGATGGTCTGAAGTCCACCTTCACCAGTTCCCAGTCCGAACGGTAGCTAATGTGTCCAAAGACTCTGAACAAAAAGATCAAAAGTAAACTCTTACTACAAAGAAATACCATACATCTGAGATTCAAAATTTCAGTTTTATCTTTTCTTTTCCACAGAAATAGTTCTGTGCTTAAAGGTCCCAGTTTAATTTTACTTCCGCTTTTATTCCTCTTTATGTATAATGAATCTAGTTAGGAAACATTTGTCAATTGTATATGAAACTTTTCAATGAAAAAATATATCTCATGTATTAAGGGTTTTTTTCTCTAGCCCAGAAATTTAATTGGAAATAACCTTTTCTAATTTGGAACACAACATTTTTGTCTATTATCTTGCTATATGAAACAGACAGCTCTCAGATTTCAACAGGAAGCAGAACTAGGATCACCAGATTGAATTTCTAGCTCTGTCACTCATTTCTTGAGATTATAGTACAACTTCTTGAGTTCGTTTTGTTGTGGGGTTTTTTGTTAATTTCTACAGGTTCTAGATAGCAATTTGCTATTGTTTTAAGTCACAGTAGTATAATGAAATTATATCAATTTCTAAGGAATACACTACATCTACACATTGTACTGAAGAACTCAGAGTCTCCTCTTCATTTCAGATAGTCCCTTGTATAGCAAAAACCAAAAACCAGCCATAAACTGTACAATTTTTTAGGGGGAAAAAAAAAAGGAAATCTCATTGCTTTAAAAACCAAGCTGTATTTTCAACGCAGCCAACATTTTCTAAATCAGAATCTTTATTTCCAAAACAAAATGGGTATGTATGACATCCAGTAACAAATTAGAAAGGATAAAGACTCTATTTGGGCAAAAGTAAAATGTATTTGTGGTTTGTATCAGGCTTATGTGACTTACTTGCCAAAGAATTTAAGATTGATTCTAAAGCCAACAATTTCTATGCAGTTCATACTGCACAGAGTTCATATTCCAAGCTTTAGTAGCATTCTCCAAACTAATTCATTCCTTTTGTTTTGCCCTCAGTTTTGTCCAAATCCAGACACAGCAGGAATGGTACAGTTTTGTTAAAAGCATTCTGCTGTGCACAGACATTTCTCTTGTCCTGAATACCAGGTTCAAAGTGGAACTAGGGTAGACCAGAAGTGAGTGAATGCTCAACTCTCTGCAGCACAGAGGCAACATCATCACACTAAGCATTTCTCCTGGTAAATGGATGTAGAGCTCTGAAGTCTACCAATGAGGCTGAAAAGTAGTTCAGAGAGATTAAAGACATACAGTGACTTCTCCCCTTCCTTTCTGGTGTCTTTGCTTCTCATCAGTAGCAGAGAGATGTAGATATCGATACATTATTGCCCACACTGCTCACACTGAAATGACCTAACAAGCCGCATGCATAGGAAACCACACCATCAGCAGTGCACTTAATGAAACAGAAACATACGCATTTAGTTTGTATGTCTTACTCTTTTCTTGTAAGGCTCTGAGATTAAAGGAGTTGGATCATCTAATTTCTTTCCTTCTAAACACACCCATGGCTCAGAAGTAGAAGCAACACACAAAAATTAAAAAATGTGGCTCAGTCCACTGGCTGTATGTGCACATAGGTGTGTGGTCCCACTTCTGTCATTGAGACCTCAGGATTTGGTTCCTTTTTCTGGTTCAGCTGGATTCTGAGAGCTGCTGTCACCATATGATCTTATTCATTGGTAGTTATATACTCAATAAAGTGACTACTTAGGTGGTCTCATGCTTTTTCCACAATGCCTGTTTCAATATGACTGGGCTTGCTGACAGACGTGAAGTGTCTTTTGCATGCTAAATACCTGTACCTCTATTTTAAAATCTTTGTTTCTCCTTACAAGGTACTACCATAAAGCAGATTTCACCATGTGCTTATGCAACACCTGTCTACCTCAGTGGTAGGTGCAATACCTACCTCAGTGAATGCCTCTCTAGACACCACAAAATTTTACAAATTTATTACATTTCTTTTATTAACCCGTTTATCAACTAATATGTTCAAGTGCAAGGAGCCAAGTCCTGTTAAAGCTTCACTCCTGCCTCAAGGAAAGTATTTTCCACACAACAAATCAAATTTTCTTCATTCATGTTAGCTATCTCAGGCAGATTAGTCAGGAAAGAAGAAGAAAGGAGATGGTGGCTTGAGTTCAAGGCAGAAAAGAATAATGAAATTCTCCTGAAAGCATAAAACATAATCTCTGAACTATTATTAATTATATTTGAAACCTCATGAGGGTGATTCCAAATGACTATAGCAAGGGAATTGTTGACTATATGTATAAATACAGACACATGCACACACACACGTGTGTGTGTATGTGTATATATGACCGTAGATATGAAACAGCAAAATGAAGCTCAGAGAGTTACAGCATTAATTTTGATATCCACAAAGATACCAAACAAATTATTGAGCTATCTACTTCTAAGCACCTTGGAGATAATTAAAATGATAACAAACAGTTACCATGGATTTGTCAAAACCAAATCATGTCAAACTAATGTAATTTCCTCCTTTTACAGGGTAACTGGCTTAGCAGATAAAGGAAAGGAGAAAATCTAGCATATTCTGACCTTTGTTAAAACTGTTGTACATTTCTAGCTGACATTGTCTCAATATAGAAAAGAAAGCATCAGTGCAGATAAAATCACTGTGAGGAGGAGTGGGAGTACATATCCAATTAGAAGAATCCATTTTCAAAAGGTAGTTATCAAAGAGGGAATATTTTGAGATATGTATCACAAAGATATGATGGGTCCACAGGCAATATTTTCATTAACACTCGTGAACAAATAAGAAACACAAAAAATTTTGCAGATAATGCAGAAGGAAGGGAGTGGACATTGACTGATGGAAGCAATGTTCAGAAATCAATATGATGAAATACTCCAAAACCAAGTGCAAAAGTACTTCTGGGAAAAAAAAACCACCAAACTCACAACAAAGGTGCAAAACCAAGATGGAAAATAACTTTCAAATATTGAATAAAAGACTTGGGGAATTCTGGGAAATTAAACCAAGAATGCAGTGTTGCTGCAAAATAAGAAAGACTAATTCTAGGTCGTATTCAGAAATGGAGAACAGAAGACATGGAGGTAATTATTTTTATAAACTTGGCAAAAGTGGAGCCTCTGGAAGAATATCATGTCTAATTTTGGATATTTTATGCATATTTACACACCCAATAAAAATGAATTTGAAGAGGGGCAAAATGATTCATAAGGTGCTTAGAAAATATAACCAATGAAGAAAGATTGAGAGAATTGGGGTTTTCTCTGGAAAAGATAAAGCTGAGAAGTACAACAAAATGTTTTCAGTCTTGTTGTAGAGCAAAGAGCTGTCCTGGAGGAAGGGCAAGAAAGAGGAAATACAAGGATAAATAAACTTAAAAGATATAGCTGCACAATTCTCTAATTCCTTCTCCTCAGTACTGGTGAGGCTACATGTGGAGTACTGGGTCCAATTTTGGGCTCCCCAGAACAAGAGAGAGATGGAAAGACTGGAGGGAGTGCAAGAAAAAGCTGTGAAGGTGATGAAGGGGCTGGAGCATCTCTCCTATGAGGAGAGGTTGAGAGAAGTGGGACTGTTCAGCCTGAAGAAGAGAAGGCTCAGGGACATCCACCAAAACCTGAAAGGAGGGTGCAAAGAAGATGGAGCCAGATTGTCTTCAGTGGTGCCCAGTGGTAGGACCAGAGGCAACAGCCTCAAACTGAAACACAGGAGGTTTTCTCTGAACAACAAGAAACAACATTTTTACTGTGAGGGTGATCAAGCACTGGCACAGGTGCTCAGAGAGGTTGTGGAGTCTCCATCCTTGGAGATATTCAAAAGCCGTCTGGAAACCATTCTGTGTGATTTGCTCTGGGTGAGCAAAGGGCTTGGACCAGAAGACCTCCTGAGGTCCCTTCCAACCTCAACAATTTTATGATTCTAGAATTTTATAGAGGTAATGGTACAAGATATTGGAGCTGTTTATTCCTCCTCACCAGAGTGAAAAATTAGATACCATCAGGATTAGAGATAGACATTAGACAAATTGGATAGATATTGCCGAGTTCCAAATCCTATAGTGATAGAAAAATTATAGAAATTATTCTAGAAATTATGTAAAATCTACCAGAGTAATATGGCAGCTAAATGCAAACTATATGTGCACACAGCACAGGCACTGCTTCAATGGGTGAACTGTAACCTTCTCCTCTGTGGATTTTTAGCAGAAGGTAGAAGTAACTTTTACTGCTTGTTGGTCCAGCCTCCTCCAAAAAACCCCAAACTAACAAAAAATGTCATTTCCATTATGGCTCTTCTGATTCTACAGACTGAAAATGAGGTTTTGACAGAGCACAGTAACTGCACCACTGCAAGTAAAATCCCATAGATTCAAGAAAGTGTCTAACTACAGTCACAAACCCCAATAAAAACGCAGTCATACCGCTTTGTAATTCATAGGGCAAATTTCCTAAGGAATCCAGCGCTTTACATGAATCCAGTTTAGCAAACTGTTTGAAAAAAAGCTTAATGATTATTGATGCTGTGCTGCAGTAGCACATGTTGCTCTATAGTTGACAGAGTTTTGCAGACGCATCAGATAAGTGCATTTAAATGTATTGCCAAATATCACTAGAATAAAAAAAGAAGCATCTTTTCAAAGTAACAAAGGCATGCATTAAGTAGAATTCGATGGATTAGACAAAAATATGAACTACAATAAAGCAATACATAACAGCAATCACAATCTAATTGCTCAGGTGCAAAATATATATGTTGAATAAAATCATATGAATGGAACAAACTGGAACGGTGCAGCAAGTGTAACTGATGACTAGAAGTTATATATCAAGATGATAGTAATTCATAAGCTACTAAAACCTTCCTCTTGATTAATTGTATTACATTAGAAAGCCATCAAATCAATTCTGTTGAAACTATAAAGGATGATGCTGTGATAAATAATTTTTGGAAGAAATTCCAATTACCTTCGAAATTAATTTACTTTTATTTGCAAGAATTTGGGATCCATAATTTTAACTTCAGTG